TATATCATTATTCTCTACGATTTCACCTATGAAATTTCTGTACAATTGTTTATTCTTTCCAAATTGATATGGAAGAATCAAAAATTTATAAAAAATGTCCCGATTATAATCAATACAAGGTTCTAAATTACTTTCTATGCCAAATAAAATGTCCCGTAATAAATTGCGTTTTCGAAATTCTTTCACTTGTGATGTGATTAAAATGAAAAGTTTATAATGATTTGATGTGTTTATCTCAATTTTGGTATGTTGGTGTTTTCCGGTGTGAGGTCTAAAATGCATTGCCTTTTCTTTCTCCTCTTCTTTCTTCCCTCCTTTCTCATCATCTTTCTCTTCGTCCTCATCCTCATCATCTATATTGTCTAGATCTTCTTCTATGTATCCATGACTTCCATCAGGTTTGTATTCATCATAATCGAACTCCGGATCAGTTGGTTCAGTTACATTATTACTATTAGTCTCATTAACATTACTCTCACTACTATTTGTTTTAGGATGACCTTTTGAATTGGAGGATAAATCAATTGAACTATTGTAATAATTCTGAATACCAAAAAATAATATGAATAGTATTATTATGACCAATACTATCGTGAAAATTGTCTTATATATATTGGATTTTTGAAGACGATGTCGTCTTTGTTCTGATGATGATGTATTAATATTCGTTCTTAATATATCAAACATTTTTTTTTTTAAAAAAAAAGTTGCCCTACAGGTAAAGTTGAAAAGAAAGGAGGGAAGAAAGAAGAGGAGAAAGAAAAGGCAATGCATTTTAGACCTCACACCGGAAAACACCAACATACCAAAATTGAGATAAACACATCAAATCATTATAAACTTTTCATTTTAATCACATCACAAGTGAAAGAATTTCGAAAACGCAATTTATTACGGGACATTTTATTTGGCATAGAAAGTAATTTAGAACCTTGTATTGATTATAATCGGGACATTTTTTATAAATTTTTGATTCTTCCATATCAATTTGGAAAGAATAAACAATTGTACAGAAATTTCATAGGTGAAATCGTAGAGAATAATGATATA